AAGGACTGAACCTTTGGGGACACCAACAGAGAGAGGTTGGGAGGAAGAGGCAGAGCTAGAGAAAGAGACACTAGAAGAGCACTGAGTGAGGTAGGAGGAGCACCAGGAGAGAACAATATCTCATAGACCGAGATTACGGAGGATGAGAAGAAGCTGTTTATGATCAATAGTATCAAAAGCAGCAGAAAGGTCAAGGAGAATTGGGATAGAGTAGTGACCATGAGATTTTGCAGCAAGTAGATCGTTTGATAATTTGGTCAGAGCCGTTTCCACAGAGTGCTGAGTACGAAAACCAAACTGAAGTGAGTCGAGCAGAGAATTGGACTCGAGGAAGTCTGTCAATCTCACATACACAAGTCTTTCAAGGATCTTGGATGCAAAAGGCAGTAGCGAGATAGGGCGGTAGTTGGACGGGGAGTTAGTGTAAAGGTTGGGCTTTTTTAGAATTGGGGTTATAGTTGCATGTTTGGAGAGGGAGAGATTGAGAATTTTAGTGAGAGGCAAAGCAAGAGAAGGAGACAGAGTACAGATGAGATGTGAGGGAACAGGAGCAAGTGATGGGGCGGGAGGACTGGACCAGATCAGAAACCTCTTCTGCTGTAGTGGGTGCGAATGAACAAAGAACAGCAGAGGGAGTGAGGTTGGGGGAAATATTGTAAGGGGAAGGAGAGAGATGAGAGATCTCTTCCCTGATTGTAGAGATCTTGTCAGTGAAGTAAGTTGCAAAGTTTGTGGCGGTTAAGTCAGTAGGAGGTGGAGGAGCAACAGGGTGAAGAAAAGAGTTTACGGGAGAGTGTGGTTATGAGGGTATTAAAGTAATTTACTTTTGCAGCGGAAAGAGCCAGGCTGTAGGAGGGCAGCATAAATTTATAGTGGAGAAAGTCAGATGCAGAGTGAGACTTTCTCCAACAGTATTCAGCAGTTCTGGAGCATTTTTGGAGGTATCGAGTCAGCTTGGCGTGCCAAGGTTGTAGTTGGGGGTGCTTGCTGCGTGCAAGTGTAGGAGGTGCCATGATGTCTAGTTGAGAGGAGGGGGTGGAATTGTAGAAGGAGATTGCAGAACTAGGGAAGGTGAGGTTTGAGATATGTAAAAGGAGAATTTGGATTTAGGATCAATAAAACATAATATTATGAAACATAAGTCATATTTACAGAACAATATTTACAGAAATAAATACTTTTTATGGGGTTGTCACTAAATCAATGGATTGTGTTGAATTGGCATATAGGCTGCAATTTATGGGACAAATATAAGAGTTGGAGAGCTTCAATTCAGCTAAAAACCCCAAATCATATACATTGATGTATTCAGTAATAAAACTTATGTGCAGGTTCATGCAATACAGAAACATTGTCTTAAAAAAAGACAAAAAAAAGAACAGAAAGAGATTATTATATAATATTATTATTATTAATATTATTATTATTATATAGCCAAAGATTATTTATTACCTGGGCTAAGGGTAAACGATCACAAAAAAAAATTAAAAAAAATAATACAGTGCACATAATAATAGAGAGCACATTTAAATGCAACAAACACCTCAAACTGGATAGTAACTGCTTTACTACAGGCAATTTATAAGAAATGTCATGTTATAAAATGATTTAAATAATTGTGTCTCATTGATGGATTAAACTCCTAAAATATGGCACACATGAGACTCAAGTTCTTCTACAAGTGGTTAAAGACAAATCTCAATAATTATATATTTGATTTACCCTTCTTCTAAATATAGATTTTAAGTCAGTATGTTGAGAATCCAGTGACCCAAGATAATTATAGGTTTCTCTCACATTTTAGGAGATGGTACAAACCGCAATATCTTCTGTCATCTTTTCAGAGGTTTGTGCATTTTAATAATTTGAAAAACAAATCACAGACATTCTAATATTTTCAGTCAATTTCAGCAGGCCAGTCCATCTCACAAGAGGAGCTGGATAAGGGGAGCAAATCACGGTGCAATTATACTATCTGGCTTGCTTTTTTTATAGCAAGCCTAATGTTTCAAGCTTAAAAATCAGCCCAGACACTGAAGCATGTTGTTTGTTTTCTCCTCACATATTTTAACGTATAGCTAATTACCTTAAAGGACCAATAAAGTCTCCCAAAACACTTTATCTTAATGAAATGGTCCAGGAGCAGACGCGCTGTAGTTTTAAACCTGCAAAGTAAAACATTGCAGTTTTGTAGAATCACACCTCTAATGGCTGTCCAATTGCTATTCCAGACAGTCACTCAAGGCACTTCCTCTGCAACGAACAAGTGAAACCTGGTCATGTGACCAAATGCAGAACGCATTAATTTCAATGGTTTTCTATGAGAAGAACTTGACTGGATGCGTGCATGGTGTTTGCCGCACATGCACACTTCATTCCCTCTATGAAGAGTATTTGATTGGACATTTGTCTTGTGAGTCTCGGCACTAGAAGAAAAGCCAAGTCTTTTTTTTTCAAAATAATTTAACACAGAAGGGGCGGGTGCTTAATCTAATTAGGGACCAGGACATCAATGCATTAGGAATACAGGTTTATATATAATGTTCTTATATATAACTTGTTATGATTTCAGTCACAGAAGCCTGAAAAACAGACACTGAAAGTCAATGGTGCATCTCGATGTTGGAAGCATCAGTCCTATGCAAACTCTCAGTCAAGGTGGTTCCATTCTTCCATCTTCACATCACATAATTTCTCCTGATATACCTTAGGCTATATATGCACATAAGTATAAAGGTAATTTGAAGATAAAAGTGATAAATATGGAAAACACCATAGAAACCACCAGACTTTTATTGTCAATAGTTCCACCATTAGAACTTTAACTTAGAATTGTTTTGTGTTAATAAATATCTCACAATTTTTTATTATAAATTATGTTGACTATATAATAAAGCAATAAAAAGTCATATACAATGTATAGATTTACCTCCATTCTCCATTTAGTGTACCATTCTTCTATAAATTATATTAGCTAAGCAAAGAAGGGGAAACCAAATGTTGCAAAAGGAAACTCATTTTGGCTTTAAAAATTTGAAGACATTGAAGGCATTTAAGGATCTTAACCCAAATTTGTTGGATTGTCTACAGTCAGCAGAGTGTTTTATTTATTTGTTATGTGGATAGCTGTCATGTATTAACACAAATTTACAGTGTTTATAGAGAAATATATCTTGAGTAATGTTTCAAGGGAGACATTTACAGTAAATGGAATTACAGAAGAATCACAGGAACAATCCATTCATTTGTGTGCTTTTCAAATACCGTTTCATCCAATCCCTGTTGGGAAATATATTTTCATGAGCTGGTAATATCAGATAAATATCATCCCAAAGAAGACAGCTGTGTAACTGAGTGTACCTTGCTTTTGTAAAAGGTCAGTACAATCAATTAGTTAATTAATGTTATTGGTTTATATACTAAGTAGTACATTTGGGTGAGATGATAATTATTAAGTTTGTAAAATTTGGTCCAAGAATAAAATCTTATACTCCGCTGAGTTATAGGCTTTTTCAAGCTTCAAAGAAACATCTATTACAAATAAATAAATAAATAAAAAATATATAAATATATATATATATATATATATATATATATATATATATATATATAAACAAGCTTTCAGGAGAAGCTCACTTTCTCAAGTCTGAAGCATTTCTGAGCAAGACGGCACATAGTTGAGTTGTAATACAGGGGTTAAAGTGACATGAGTGCAGATAAGACAAGTTGGATAGAACATAGACACCATTCTTGCAGAGGGTCGTAAATATCTTCTGTGAAGATCACAGAGTGAGGAGGGGAGAAAGAGAAAAAAACAAGCGAACAGTGGAGAAGATGGTGCTAGAAGGGCGGAATATTAATATAAAGAATGCATGAATTCCCATCCAAGAGTTACATGATATGCATGAAGGCCTATATCCAGCATACACAGACACACTTACACACTCATGTACATATACCTATACCCGAGTAGTGCATATGTACAAGTATACACAAGAACGCAGTGGTGGATCCAAGGGGGGGGGCAAGGAGGCAATTGCCCCCCCACCTTCCCCCCGAGAAAATAGTGCAGTTGCCATCAGTTGAGCAACCTCATTAGTTGCAGGGAGTGCTGGGAGGAAGTGACTGTTACTTCCTCCCGGAATACAGACCGCGCGGCTGAGAACACGCAGGATGCAGCTGGGAGAGAAGGAGCAGGCAGCTGGGAGAGAAGGAGGAGGGAGGAGAGAGAGCTCTGCAACTTCAGACTCCCATCAGGATCAGCTAGCCTCAGGAAGTCATCTCCCTGCAAATAAAAAGGTATTGAAGCAGAGGGGAGGGGGGAGCGTGCTTAACATTATGGAAGCTGCAATTTGTGTGTGTGTCAGTGTGTATGTTTAGGTATGTGGACATCTGTGTGTGTCAGTGTGTATGTTTAGGTATGTGGACATCTGTGTGTGTCAGTGTGTATGTTTAGGTATGTGTATCTGTGTGAGTATGTGTGTGTATCTGTGTGAGTATCTGTGTGCATCTGTGAGTATGTGTGTGCATCTGTGAGTGTTAATGTGTATCTGTGAGTATGTATGCGTGTGTATCTGTGTGTACCACAGACAACGTAGTCCACTGCACTCAGGTTCCGCTTTTCACTCCGGCCCACAGACTCAGAGGTGCTCTGCATTTGATAGACACTGCTAATCCGTCCAACAATACAAGGTAATAGACTATACAGGCAACACTCCAGGTACTGAAGGTGTATTTATTGGAGGGTAGAACACCACATAAAAGTGCAACTTTTCGGGGGGCGGAGCTAGCTGCCAAGCCGACAAGTTGCATGAAACCCGAGCTCCGACATTACCACGGCAAAACGGCCAAAGAACCCTCAAAAACCACCTCCACATACCGGGGAAAGGCTGAGGGAGAGTCAGCACACTATGGGGAAACACTCACGGAAACCCCGAGTGTCATCCGCGGGACATACCCACGATATTGGGCAACTCTTGTCCCAGGCCTGCAGGCCCAAAATGGCGGACGCCTTCCAAACCATGGGGATGGAGTCACCCTCTGCCTCAGAGGATGATTACCTGAGCGACATGCCGACACCCCAACGGAAGCGGCAAACTGCACCACCAAGGCAGTCAGAACCACCACTAGCCACTAAGGCTGACCTATCAGGCATGGTGACTGACCTTAAGGCCTTCTTCACAGCTGAACTAGCAGGCCTCAAGATGGAGCTGAGCACACTTACAGGCCGCATGCGAGCCACGGAAGAAGCAGTCCAGGACTTGAGAGCCCAGCACAACGCCACGGCAAAGCAAACGCAGGAGCTAGCAACCACATGCTCACAACTAAACGCCCGAATGGGGCAGCTTGAAGATATGGCGAGACAGAGAAATATCAAGGTGAGGGGGATCCCAGACACTGTGACAGCAGATGAACTGCCGCTCCTCATAAAGAGGCTGCTACAGGCTGCCCTTCCATCTAAACAGGCCAAAGGACTGACCCTGGACAGCCTATTCCGCATACCAGGGCGCCCATGCAATGCCCCAGACTCTGCAAGGGATGTCATAATGAGCTTCAAATCCCGCTCAGATAAAGACGGATACCTCCGTGCTGTCAGGGGCCAGACCCCGTATGCTTTAGAGGACCTTGCCTTATACTTTTACCAAGACCTGAGCCGCCAGACGCTGCAGTGGCGTGCATCCCTGAAAGAAACCACAACATGACTGAGGGCAGCGGACATACAATACAAATGGGGCTACCCCGAACGCTAATTGCCACACAAGAAGGGCAAAGCCACCGACTGACAACACCGGCGGAAGCACCACAATTTTTACAAGCACTGGGCATTCGCCCTATGACAGGTGCTAAGACGAGAACGCCACACCGGTGGGATGTCGCCAACATAGCACTGTTCACCCCATTGGGACAGGCAGCCCAAGAAGGAAGCAGCACTGTGCACCCACCGGTTCTTAATGTGGGGGAAAAACTATCCGTCACAAGGAACTAGTAAAGGCACCAGCTGGATTTATATCACGCTGACTTATGCAATGTCCTCCCCCATTTGTATACAATTTCATGTATAATTTGTATGCCTGATATACATTTCGATGTCATTTTCTTTTTGTACCTAATGCCAGGTTAGCCATAGGTTAGCCATAGGTTAGCCATGTAGTCTGCAGACCGCGGCAGCTCAAAAATACTTACCACTTAACTCACAGAGACCGCACGACACTCCGACCTCGCAGACCCTTCAACCTGGCACAACCTACAGGGCACCCAGGCGACATCTTAAGGCCATAGACACAAGTGGCACATACCTTCACTGCGAAAAACACCCCGCCCCAGACTCCGGGTTTAAGGAGCCTTAATATATGTAAGCCCCTATAACGCCTCTAGCCGCCACACTGGAGATCCAGAACCTGAAACCCACACCCAGGCTTAACTCACCTAACTTGAAAAATGCACACAAAGCATCTCTATGCATATGTTTAGTTATAGCGCCTGAGCCTGGAAGCGCTGCTGTTTCCCCTACATGTTAGCCTCCTTTGCTCACTAATCTAGCACCTGATATCACAGCAGATATGCCAACATGCCTGTTTCAGCCGCTTATTAACCTGGGGGTGCTGGGTGCTGTGTGTGTGGGTGGGTGCTGTGTGTGTGGGGTGGGTGCTGTGTGTGTGTGGGGGGAGCTGTGTGTGTGGGGGGGTGCTGTGTATGGGGGTGCTTTGTGTGTGGGGGTGCTGTGTGTGTCTGTGTGTAGAGTGCTGTGTGTGTGTGTAGGGGGGTGCTGTGTGTGTGTGGGGTGCTGTGTATGGGGGGTACTGTGTATGGGGGTGGAGGGGTGCTGTGTATGGGGAGGTGTTGTGTCTGGGGGTGGAGGTGCTGTGTGGGGTGCTGTGTGTGGGGGTGGAGGGGTGCTGTGTATAGGGGTGCTGTGTGGGGGGTGGAGGGGTGCTGTGTATGGGGGGTGCTGTGTATGGGGGGGTGGAGGGGTGCTGTGTGTGTGGGGGGGTGCTGCTGCAAATATATATAATAAATATATAATAATAATACAATCTGTGTCCCCCCCTTCCTCTTACCTTTTGTGAAGGAGGGGGGCCACAGAAATCCCTGGTGGTCCGGTGTTGGTAGGAGGGACAGGTCCTGCAGCTCTCTTCTCCCGCGCGCAGAATGCTGTGTGGAGCGTTGCCATGGTTATGCGCTGCAATGCTCCACACAGATTGATCGTGGGAGGACAGGAGAGCTGCTTCCTAGAGCCCTCCCCCCGTCCTCTCGACACGGAGGCAGAGTACATAAACCCTATGCAGAGGGAAATCAGTCTCTCCTGTGAAGAGCTGGGGGCAGAGACAGAGAGACTGTGTGGGAACAAAAAGGTATTTTGCAAGCCTTTATTTTTATTTGTTAAAATACTGGCGTCAGCTTAGCTGCCCACTAGCATAGGGTACTCTATGTTAGTTAGTCTCCAGTGTGGAGTAGGAGTTTGGTTTTCATGTTTTGCTGTGGCTCAATTGGGGCCTGCTTGCTAAATAAAGCTTTCCTCATATTGGAAGAAAGAAATGTTTCTGTTGTTTATGACCCAAGACCCGGCCAGCCTGCTACAATACATATAAATACAACCAAATGCCCAAATATATGTACATCTACACCTACACATACATCCACATACAAGCACCAATACATGTACCTACACATATACCAATGTGCCTACACATACATAGACCCATACATATGTATATGTACACATACACCTATTCACATATACATACATGTATGCATGTATATATACACTTTATACATACACACACACAAATACATACATGTATATGCATACACATAAATACATGAACACATATACAAATACATACACACAAACACATATACATGTACATGAACTCATATACACAAATATAAATGCACAGTCACATATATATGCATACCAGTATGGGAAAGCATAGGTCTACACATAGTACTTTGTGTATTGATAGAATAAACATATTGGAAGGTTTTTTAAAGTGTTGATACATATGACAGAACAGTAAGATACTGCTGTGAGAGTGTTCATGTAAAGTGTTGGTAGTGGGACAGGAAACTCAAATCAATAATTAGTCCTTGATTCTTGCTGTTAAACAATTTGATCATTCTGGCTTTAAAAGTTTTTCTTTTTTGGGTATTTTTAAAACCCTATTTTCAGTACTTTGATTTTTAGGTCCTTCATTGAGTGGCCAGGCTGGGTAAAGTGGTGTCCCACAGGAGTGCAGTACGATTCTTCTTTGTGGTGTTTAATGGAGTGTCTGTGCATATTCATTCTGACATTTAATGGCTGGGCGGTTTCCCTAATGTAGCATCCAAGGTATCATTTGGTGCATTGAATCATGTATGCCACATTGCCAGATGTGCAGTAGTATGATGCTAAATGCTGTAGGTTATATTGTTGTGTGTGGCTGTGTTGTCTGTGAATATGTGCTGACACAGTTTGCAGCAAGGTTTTTTGCACTGACTGGACCCATTTTCTTTATTCTTCCCATCAGTGGGTAGCTTCCTGTTGATTCATTTTTGTTGAAGGTTTGGTGGTTGTCTGAAGGCCAAAAATGTTTTTCAGAGTTTCATCTTCTGTTAACATTGGTTGTAGGTCTTTAATGATTTTCCGTATTTCCTCAAGAGCTGGGTTGTAGGTGACAAGTGGCACTCGTGTAGATATTTTTTTCTCTCTGTATTATAGCAGGCGTGTGCATGGAATTTTTACAGCAGAGTTGATTTGTTTGGTAATAGTCTTTGGTTTGTAGCCTGTCTCATAGATTGGGAGAGTACATTTAGATAGGAATTACATTCATTAGGATCAGAGCATACGCTATGGTACATAGTGGCTTGGCTGTAGATGATACCCTGTTTAGTATGGGAGGGGTGGAAGCTGGAGCTGTGAAGGTAACTGCACCTGTCTGTGGGTTTTCTGTAAACCGAGGTGTAGATTGTGCCATTGTTACATGTCACAGTGGTGTCTGGAAAATTCTCAGATATAGTGGAATATTCCATTTTTAGTTTGATTGATGGATGGAATGTGTTAAAAGAGTCATGGAACTGTATCAGTTTTTCTTCACTCTAAGTCCAAATTATGAAGTTATCATCGATATAGAGATAATATTTGTATGGTTTGGTGTGCTGTATTTCTAGGAATCTCTGTTCAAGATCTGCCTTTACCAGATTAGCATATAAGGGTGCTATCTTAGTGTAGGTAAACCTCATTGTTAAAATTGAAATAACTATGTGTGAGGATGAATAGTGTCAGTTCTCTGATAATTCAGGGGCTTTATATATATATATATATTTATATATGTATGTGTATCTTGCAGTTTTTGTTTTTGACTTGCAGAATTTTGAAATGACAAGCTATCATTCCCTTTTTTAGGTCTAAAGCATTTCTGAGCAAAAACGGCACATATAATTCAAAGTTGATTTGTGATACAGAGGTTAAAGTGTCATGAGAGTGCAGATAATACACAAGTCTACTAAAGTAAGGGTCCCTCTAAAAGAATGGTTGCTATTCTGTTCTTTTTCCCCCTAACCCAATCAGAAGTGCTGTATGATAAGGTACATACAGGTTGTTGTTTAATGAAAATATACTGAAAATTGCTTTTATTTTTCCATAATTCCTTGATTTACTGATATTGTGTCATCTTTTATTATTTGGTCATAACTTTACCAGCATTTAATCAACATTGGTAGTTATCTGGAAAGGGACCAATTAGTCAAGCAAAACGTGCATCGATAGAACCATAGAGAGATCCTCAATCTGGACATGCTCATAACAAGGTGAACGGACAGAGGTATAGTTATTTCACCCCCAGCAAGTTTTTTTCTCAGAAATAAACTACATTTAAAAAACAACACACAAAAGCTGCATATATTTAATTGGAAATTAGATTAAATTACAGTTAAAATTTACAGTTAAAAATTAAATATTTTTTGATAGATAAATTAATTAATAAATATATATAATATCCAGAAAGGGATGGTTGCTCATCGGTCTTAAAAAATGCAAATTTATTTAATTGAGTTAAAAAGTAGTGACCAATGTTTCAGTCCCCATTCGGGACTTTCTTCAGGGTCAGAAATAACAGGACAACAATATATATACATATATATATGTATATATATATATATATATATACATAAAAGATTAAATAGCATAATTGTCTCAATAAGCTATAGATCACCTACATGAACATATGACTTGATCCTGATGTAATTGCAGTTGAAGAAGCCCTTAAGGCAGCTATTAACATTTATTAGGTTGATGAAAAATATAAGGAAGCCTTAATGACTTAGTCCATTGGCAAGAGGTAAGTTTACAGTGACCTGCGAGCCTTGAGCAAAGAAACATATTTATTTGGTTATTGAAGGTGACTGTTATTTTTGCCCTTGGCGAGGTGTCATGAAACATGCAAACGGTGGTCTAACATATTCTAGAAATGAATGTGCATCACAGTAAATACTGGTCCTTGGTTATACATTAACACAGAAAAGGGTAGAGTAGGCACAACAAACAATTTGTAACTGTCAGAAAATGTTATTGTAAAGTAATTTGTTTATTTGTTTTCTCCATTTTTAGTATGTCAAATCAAATTAAATGCAGATGCTCTCATTAATAATGTAGGTTAAACAATAATACAAACATATATAAATGTGTTATCATTATAATTGCATGTTTTAGATCAAAATCACCAAA